AGCTAATACCTAGAGTTGATAAACCATTTTGAGTGGTAAAAAAAGTGAACAACAATGCATATAAGATTGAATTATTGGGTGATTATGGAATTTTGGCCATCTTCAATGTTCGTGATCTATCACCTTACTCGGGTGAAGATGAATTAAATTTGAGGACAAATCCTTTCCAAGAAGGACGAGATGATGAGCATCGTGTTTTGTATGGCATGTAAGTGGATGGCATGTCCACACACTTAGGTCCAATAACAAAGAGCTCATGTAATAGAGCTTCAAGTCAACTTTGATCTTGTCTTGAAGTCTAATTCTCGGTATTTTAAGGGCACTTGGACCACGTTGGATCACTTGTTTCTTGGATAGAGCTTGTATGGCTGAATAAAAGCTTGTTTGGGCTTGATTTAAGCATTGAAAGGATCGGGTCCAATGATGCTTATTTGCTAATTAGTTTGCTTTATTTTTTTCAATTCTATTTAGGTTATGTTTATTTTATAAGAATTAGATAATTATTTCCAATCAATTGTGGATTTGAATTTTTTTCCTATTTCGAGTAAGATTTTATATAGGGATAGTTTGAAATCCATAAAAAACCAACTTGGTTTATGATTCTCTAGTCATGCTTATCCATAACTATATTTTAGGAGTGTGTTTCGGCTATATAAAAGAGGTTTGTTTCTTTATTTGGATAGGTGATTATTAATACAAATTTTGAGAGATTATTCCTTAACTACCTAAGTTCTTATCTAGTTAGGCTAGTTACAAACAAACTCGAATCTTATCACTCACAATCCTTGAGTGTGGCAATTCACCATCTTCTTATTAAGTTATGCATTGCATCAACTCGGTTTGGAGATTTTATTCTTTTTCTTATCTTATTTTTACTTTAAACCAAATAAAACCAACTTTAGATTACCACATATATTCCGCAAGGAAACTAAATCGTGACTTGGGCACATTATTATTGATAAAATTGGGTCTTAAGATGATATCAATAGAAAATATTATTTGTATTAAAAAATTATAAATACTAAAATGATAAAAAAAACTAATAACCAATGTGTAAAACAACGTCAATTTAATCACATTAAAAAATAAACTTAATAAACGTGCTAAAATTTTAAGTTTCATTTTTTTTATTTTTTTTATTAGTTTTAGAAATTTTTTATTTGTAATTATTCTTAAACTTCAATTTAAAGGAAAAATAAAGGTTAAGAAAATTTAATCTAGTTCATAAAATTATAAAGTTGGAATAGCACCAATTATATTTTAGTTGACTTGCATTTTATTTCATTAGTTGTGTCTTTTAGTAACTTTATTAAATAGAAAAATATTAGTAATTTCTAAAGCTTCAAAGTGTTTCTTGCTCGTTAATGAATTTGTAATTAAGAAGGGGAATTTCATCCGATCTATTGGATAGTTGGTGTAATTCAACTTAAATAGCAAGTTAGGTTGAGTTTTTACTCAATTTGATCGAGGTCAAATCCAATGTCGATAAAGTCCAATCTTGTTTTGTATAGCTGGATATAGGGCTGTAAAACAAACCACCAAACTATCCAAACTCGATTTAAGATCAATTTGATAAAATACTTGATCAAATTGGATCCTTAGTTTTTTTCTTTACAAAAAAACTTGTTTACAAATTTAAAACTCAATCATTTTATCAACAACCTTGAATAATTTACCAATTTTCTCAAAATGTTTGTAAACATGAAATATATTTTAAATAACTATCTTTTAAAAGAATACTATATATAAAAAAAAAACTCTATATAATGAATGCAAATTAACTATAAAATACCTATAAAGTTGAAACACAAAATGATTCTAACACTCAAAACGAGGTTAATATACAACAGAGAGATAAAATAATTAATTTTTTTAAAAATAATTATATTAAAATATTCATTTTTATTTGATTTTATTTTGTTCATGAACAAACTTAAGCTAAAAAAAAAGTAACAAATAAACTTGATCTCTATTTTAGAGTTGTATATGGTACTCGAGTTAGACACTAACTTGATATAATTTACATGAATCAATCTTGAACATTATAATACTAAGTTCGATTTGGCTTGTTTACAATCTTAGCTAAATATGAGGACAAGTGAGAGATTCGCCTTAACTTACCCACATTATTATTTTTAAAAAAATTTGTTAAAACATATAAATTTTTTCATGTGTGGATTTGAATTATGGACTTTATATATATATATATATATATATATATATATATATATATATATATAGAGAGAGAGAGAGAGAGAGAGAGAGAGAGAGAGAGAGAGAGATTTTGTCATATAGTACTATGATTTATAGATGTAAATTTATAAATTTTTATGTTTAGTTTAGGATGTGATTAATAGATGTAAATTTATAAATTTTCTTATTTAGTTTTTAGGATTTAATTTATGTGATTTTCTATAATTCTTTTTAATTAAAAAAAAAAAGACTTAGGTAGGGTTAAGTATCTTATAATTGGAAAAAGACCTACTTCCGATCCGATCAAATCAAATGTTGGGAGGGATAGTTATTGTAACTCAATTGACATCTAAGAGTTTGATCTAGTTTAGATCTTTTCTTTGTTTTTTTATTAATATTTTATTATTAAAAAATTAATGTAAAATAATTATTAAAATTTTAACTAATAATTTAATTTTTTTAGATTGATATGATTCTTTAACACTTGTTATATTAGTAATTTTCTTATTTGCTTATGATATTAAAAAAAATACTCCTTATTTACTGCTGACAAACAAGCTAATATGATGTTGTTGATACATTTAGATAAAGAGTTTTTTCTTAAACCAATACACTATTAAAGTTTTGTTCCTTAACTGGGTATTTTTAAACTTATTTATCAAACAAATGCACTTTTTTGCCACATAAGATTTTTTCATCCACATTGTTTTTTCTTAACTATTGAAAAATAATTTTATTATATTAAATAACTTCATCTTTATTTTAAATATTTTATTAATTAAAAAATATAAAAATGCTAAGACCTCTCTTTCTAGAAAAAAATAAAAAAAACTTTTATTTTTTTAGGTTTAGGAGCTAATGTGGTCGGTGGTTAGCCCAAAATTTTTTTTTTTTCCTTGTTTGTCCCTCTAAATTTCTTTATGTAGTTTTTTTTTTTTTTTTACCGTACTTGTACAACACCTTGACAGAGCCATGGACTTACAAAAGAAACCAACTTTAATACTACAACTCGAAGTCCATTCTCCAATAACAAAAACATCAATCTCTATGTAGCTGAAATATTTGAAGCTATTGTTGATTGTAAATTTATGATGGAAATATTATTGGAGAGGATTTGCTAATTAATAGAAGGGATGATACTAAAATTCACAACAAAAATTATTAGGTGTAAAGATTTTGGACCAATAAGAAAAATTCAAGAAATTTATTTTACATCATTATATAGATTAAAAAAAAATAGAGAGAGATAAGAAAAGAATAAGAATAGGAAGAAGAACAGATTAATACAAAAAGAAAATAGTAAAAAAGAGGAGATTAATGTGTGATGATAAAACATTTATTTAACAAAATGATTTAAAAAAAAGCTGACATGTTAAGTTATATAAATGAGATAGATCATATATGACATATAGTACTTTATTTTGATAAATAAATTTTAAACTTTCATATTATGGTAAATAAGATTTAAAAGTGTCTTATCATGTAAAAAAAACTCTTTAGATAAGTGCCTATCGATCTTTCAATAAACTTTATAGTATAAGAAGACCTTATCGTGGCTTAGTGTCTAATTACTAAAAAAACTAAAGTAAAACATGGTTTTACTATTTATTTTTATTATTTGAAATACTATTCACACATTCATAAATCACTATTTATTTTTTTAGCACTTTGCTCCTCAATTTTTCTATACTTATTTTTTTTTTAATTTCAAACTTTAATTGTATTGTGATTTGGTCTCATTTTGTTTCGGTGTTTTCTTTTAATTATTTTTATTATTCAAAATTTACTACTTTAATTTTTTATTTTTTAAATATAGTCATATGTTATTAATATTATGACCATATTATAATAATATTATTTTTCTACACTAAGTATTTACTATTTATTTATTTATTTTTGAATTAAATAATTAAAATAATTTTTTGGCTTAATCACTCAATGATCCAAATTAATATAGTTTTTTATTTAAATATTATTCATTCTTTTGTAAATAAATATATAAAAATTAAATTTACATTTTTTAAAAAAGCTGATATTCTCATCAACATTAAATAAAAAAAATATTTTTTCAATTCTATGTAAGCTTTTAATAGTTATTATTTATGTTTTTCACACAATCTTATGAAATACTAAAGCTTTTTTTAAAAATTAATTTATTTTTAATTAATAATCTATTGATTAACAAGGATAAATCCTTTTTTTAAAGGAAAAATTATGAAAAATACAAATAAGATATAATTAAATACAAAATTTTTGATTAAATAATTTTTTTCATCTTTGATATCATATATTTTTTAAAATAATTTTATATATTTTATCTAATACATAACTTAGAATGGATAAAAAAAAAAAAACTAGGTAATGACTGACTTGTAACTGCAACCTGTATTACATTACTTCAAAATCAAAATATTCCCATTGGTTAATTTTTTAGCAGAAGCCATTCCCTCTTCGAACCCTACGGGAGAAGTGCCTTCCACGCTCTTCAAGTAGAGACCGACCAAAGCCCTAAGCCCCCACCGCTTTTCTTTCTCACCAACAAATCAGAAAAAAACCTCAGCATTTTGTTCGTCATGGTGAGGTAGCATTGCGTTATTTAAGAGCACGCCTTCTCTCTTGTCTCTCTCTAAAAGGACCAGAATCTAGAAAGACAGTTGTCAAAAAAATACAAAACACAAACAAGTTGGAAGTCTCATAGCCACGTAACAACTTAACCTTTTCTGGTGAGGTTAGGTGTGGTACCAACAGGTAGAGATAGAAGATCGATCAAGAAGCAAGAAAGAAAGAATTGAGAAAAACCAAAAGAAATGGATAACATGCTATGCGATGAGCTGCTTCAAGAGATCTTTGCTAGAATACCCAAACCACCACAATCATCATCGTCATCATCAGCTTCAGCAACATCAATTTCTTTAGTCTCTAAACGATGGCTCCACCTGTATCGTACCTCAAAAACCTCTCTTTCTCTCAGACTTAACCTTGATGATTCCACAATTACCTCTCTGACGTCTCTCCTCTCTCACTACCCTTTTCTCTCCTCTCTATCTCTCTTCCTAATCTCCTCTGACCCCACCGTAACAACTGCCAGAACTACCGCTACAACTTTCAATGATCGTCTTCTCTATATAGTCTCCTCGTTTTGCTCCAGGCTTGAACACCTTAGGTCCTTGGCTGGTCCTGTCTCACAATCTTCTCTCTTTGCTCTCTCTAATTCTTGTACCCGTTTGAACTCTCTCACTATCTCTCTCTCCAGGCCTCTCTATTTTAACTGGGTTGTCCCTTTTAATTGTTTAAAAGGCCTATCTATCTATGTATCTGGCTGTTATGGAGTTTATGATTGCTTTAAAGAATATGGGTTCTGCTCAAATGAAGAGCCTGATGCTGAATTGGGTATAGAGAGTCTTTTGTTATCAGGTGTTGGAGGAGAAGATTATGGTGTTGGTTGGTTATGGAGGAGCTGCAAAAAGCTCAAGAAATTGCAGCTAAAGAACTGTGAAGGTATTGGTGATGGAGGGTCCTTTTTGTCGTTTATTAAGTGCCTGAAGGGTCTCCAAGAAGTGGAGATAAGGGCCTGTAGGAGTATAGTTACTGGTGTTTTGTTAAAATTGGCAGAGAATTGTAATTCTTTGATTTCTCTGTTGGTTTATGATGGTGGTAATGCAGAGGGTTTGCATAACTTTATTAGCAACTGCAGGTGTGATTTGCAAAAACTCGATTTTCGATTACCTTTAGACCTTAGGAACGATCATCTCTCAGCTATTGGACTGAATTTTAAGGGCCTCTCAACTCTTAGGCTTCAAAGTTGTTGTCTAGTAAGTGGCGAAGGGCTTAAGGTTCTTGGGATTGCCTTGAGTTCGGGCCTTGAAGAATTGGCATTGATCAATTGTGATGTTGTTGAAAGGGAATCCGGATTGCTTGCAACGTTAGGACAGCATATGAAGCGATTAAGGAAACTGGACTTGTCTTTTAATGAGTTTTTGGTTGATAAGGAGTTAATCTCGATGCTAGTTTCTTGTAATTGTTTGATTGAATTGAATTTGAGACGGTGTATTGGACTTACTACTGCGTCAATGGTTTCTATATTTAAGAATTGCAGGGAGTTGCAGAGTGTTGATATCATGCAATGTTATGGGATTGGGGCTGAGGCTGTTGAGCTATTTGTCCTCAATTCACAGCAATTGAGACGTCTACAAGTGGAGGAAAACAAGATTTCACATGTTGCAAGGTCATGGGCATCGCATAAATTCATTCAGGTTGTTTCTTAAATTAATTAAGTTGCTATCAAACGACTACTACTATCTGTTCAAGTTCCAAGAAATCCTGGTATATATTTATGTATTAATTGTTGTGAAGGTTTCTCTTGTTCATATTATTAGGATAGAATAATGAGCTGGTTTTGCTCGATGAATAATGATTATGCTTGTATTTATATTGCATGGTTTCACGACATGTATAGCAGCAATGATTCAATAATCCTTGGCAATGACATTTATCTTTAGTTTATCAGTTTTTCTGCATTTACTTTTACTTGTTTTGAATCCATTAATCTTCATATTGATGCAACTCAACTGAATATAACTTTTTGGTTTTCTGCATTTACTCACTTTCTCAACAGTTTTTAGTTAAATGCTTTAGGTTTGAGACAATTTCCAAATAATGGTTGAGGTATTTTGTAGGTTTGGTAAGTGCTAATAGCTATCAAGATGACCAACAATTAGTATAAGCTTTTTGGACGCATTATTTTCTTGCTGTGTAATCTTCACAGACATGCTTTCCTTGCTGGTTGGTGGTTCCTTAATTTATATTTTCCAGAAGTCGAAGAAGATTTTATGGCCGCGGAGTGATTTAAGGGATTTGACTCGTGAAATAAACAGTACTTAGAATATTTAAAAGTTAAAAAGTATTGGTGAATCTTAAAATGCTTGTAAATTGTACCCCTTTTTTCACCATACAAGAGATCGGTTCGTATGGATGTGAATGTGAAAACTTGGTCTACAGATTCTGGGTAAATACTGGGTTCTATCGTGCTCACTAGTTGCGACTCCAAGGTCAAATGCCATTTGGCAGCCTGAATTTATGTCCGATGGTATTGCCTGCCCTCGGCTCTCGCATGTGAATAGATTTGTCACAAGTGATTTCTTCGTTGCTTTAGCAACTTGGAAGTAAAAGTTTTTCATTTCAGAATTGGCATGTGATCTAATTAAGAAAAAAACAGGTAACTGATGGAGTAATATATAAAGTCATATTTAAATTAACAATTTACTTAAACTTTTGGGTTGATATGATTCTTACGATAAATGTTATGAGATTGTATTTCTCCAAACAAAAGCTCACGAGATGAACTAACCTATCACGTGTGAGAAATAACTTTTGATTTTGAGTCATAATTTAAAAATTAAAAGAAGTTTTTTATAAATAATTTATGACAAAAATGAGAAAAATTGACTTTTAGGTTAGAAATATAATCAGTAAAAAAGCATTTTTTTTTTTAATAAGAAACGTCATTATAAGCTAGAATTCGTAAATTAAAGTTAAATATTTTAACTTTTGATCAAAGCAAATTTTGATTAATTTTTGTGACAAACTTTTAGTTAAATATTCTTTAACATTTCAAATTTTCCTTGATTATATCTTTATGTTTGTTCAAAGTGGGGTATTGCGGCTAGCCTTCGTTTCCTCTCTGGGTTAAAACTTAAAAAGTGAGCTCCCCGGCTACGTGGTTGGGCCCAGGATTGGTCTCCTTGGGCTAAGGCCTTAATACAAGCCCAATTAACTTACTAGAGAAAGCTTCGTACCAACTCTTAGGCAAACTAGAACGACCAAAAGTTGTTTCATGGGCTTACAAATTAGAATTGGGCCCGTTTGATGTTGCACCATTGCCGAACAAAAAGTAGGCAATTTGGATTGATGGATTTTTGCCTAGAGAGTGGCCTTTGGAGCAAGTGCTGGGGATAACGCAAAATCGTCTCAAAGTTTGGAGCGCGATATCAAAAAAGTGTAAACTGATTAGGGGGATCCAGCTAGTTTATAAATTTTTGTTTTTACCTGCACCGTATCCTCAAGTCAAGTAATTTTTCTTTTTTAGGCATCTCACTCACGTTCAAACTAACTACTATATTTATAAGAATTTTTTCTTATAATCTCACACTAAATTTGAGTTTACCATGATAACATGAAAAATAAACTTAGCAACTATTTGGTATTGTTTCAATTTTTGTTGTCAAGTTTTTAAAAACAAAATATGAAAATTAGTTTGTTTTTGTTTTCAAGAAAATAAAATTGACAACAAGTTTTGAAAATTTTTTAAAAAATAGTTTTCATAAATTTTCATATTGGGAGTTAGGAAATGATTTGTTCCAATTAATTTAGACCAAGATCGAGTCTAGAGTTCGAACCGAATTGAATCTAAGTCCAGCTATCAAGGGTTTGGGTTTGAAAAGTCTAGGACGTTTAGGGTTGAGAATTGGTTCGGAGCGCTTAGAGTTTGGACCGAGATTAGGTTTGGGCCAAGATTTGTGCTAGTGGTTCGGAGCGCTAAGGCTTGGACCTAGATTAGGTTTGGGTCGGGACTAGGCCCAAGATGCTCGAGGTTCATGCGGGGATTCGGTCTAGGGCATTTAAAGTTCGGATCGGGATCGATGTCGGGGGTTAGACTAAGAGAGAGTCCAAGAATCTCATGGTTTAAGCTCGGACCAATGTTGGGTTTGGATGACTATTGGTTCCAAGTTGCCTAAGATTTAGGCTAAGTCTAGGTTTGGGCGGGGATTAGGTCTAGTGTGCGTAGGATTCGAATCGGTATCGAATCTAGGGCATCTAGGATTCTAATAGGAATTAGATTCGGGGTTAAGAACTAGACTAAGTTTAGGGTACTTGAGTTCAAGCCAATATCGAGTTAGATGCACCCAAGATTCGATTTGGGACCGGTACTAGGATTCAAGCTAGGACCAACACTAGGGTTCAAATTGGTATTGAATTTGGGGCGCTTTGAGTGTAGGTGTGGGTTGGTGTTGAGGTTCGAGCTAGAACTAGTGCTCGGGTTAGGACTAACACCAAATTTAGGACACCCGAGGTGCGGTCGAGATTGGTGTTGAGATTTGAAACAAGACTAGTGTAAGGCACTAGGGTTTGGGTAGGGATTAATGTTGTGTTTCGGGCAGAGACTAGTGTTGAGGTGTGGATCGGGACTAGGTCTTGGGGGCTAGCTTTCTAGTTGGGATCCGGTTCGGGACCTCGGGATTCGATGGAGTTTGATAACATGGTTCTGGTTAGAACCGGGGTTTAGATTGGGATCAAGTTTGAGGCACTAGGGTACATGTTGGGACTAAGTTCGAGCACTCGAGGGTGGGACTAGAACCAAGTTTTGGACACCTTGGCTTTGAACCAGGATCGGACTTAGAATCGGATTCGGGAACCTAAGTTTGAAATCTAGAAAACCCAATAGTCAATCTTATGTATCCGATTGAAACTAATAAATTTTCTAAAAAAAATAAAACAAAAAACATAAATGAAAAACAAAACCAAATGACTATTTGATAATTACTTGAATAAACACTTCAAAAGTGAATAATTTGCAAATTGCAGCTTAATAAAAAGTTTCCAAACATAAATTGATAGTTATTTCATGAAATAAAAGGGAAAAAAGGGATACTAAATGTTAAATCAAACCAATAGATGTTTAATTTTATTTTGTTCCTTCTAACTTAATTATCTATTACCAAAAGACAAAAGTATTTGATTGTAAAAATAACACTAAGAATATTAACAATTTTCACTTACAATTGACTAATTACTTTGTGTGTAATTATATTTGGAAATGTTTTCAAGCATAAATAGCATATAACTCTTCCAATTCATATAAACAAACAAACAAACAAACAAACAAATAAACATGAGTTTTTTAATTATAACTTGTATCTCAGCTTACCTTTTCAAATAAGAAAAATCTCAAATGGATTTCCTAAATACATCATTTTCAATTATATGCCTTTTTCTATATTCATAGACAAAATATGTAGATTTACTTTTATATTTGTATAGATTATTCAATTTTTCTTTTATGTTTAAAATTGATTGGTTTTAATCCTTTTTTTTTTTTTTAACAATTTGATCCAATTGATAACTCGTATTAAATATCTTTGACTCTTTGTTAAGTTTTTTTTTTTTTTGGGTCAATACAAAAGAGATTTCATTGATGTTATAATAAAAGTATATATATATATAATCTTCCAATAGTGTTACATACAAAATTAAAAGGAATGAAAACATATTTTTCAAATGTACTCTTTACATGTGTTACAATAAGGAAAAAAAGAAAAAGAAATAAAGTGGAAGTCGATGACAATTACATCAATCTTATCCTTTCTAATTTTTAATTTAAAACTTATTTAAAAACACAATTGTATGATGACAATTACATCACTCTTATCCCTCTTAATTTTTTTAATTTAAAACATATCAAAAAAATAATTGTCAAAACCTATACATTATCCGATTTCAAATGTGTGTCCACCGCAACATGCATATATGATGTCACATCTTCAAATCAATCACCGTAATTATTCAAGAGAACCTCCTTGTATGAATTGTATGATCTTCTCTTAACAATTCCTTCATGCAATCACTAAATTGACTTCACATGGTACCATACTTGGATTTATTTGGTCTAAAATGAAGCTCAATGGTGGACAAAAAACTAAACATATTTTGCTACCGGCTTAGTCCAAAAAGTAGTGAACTTAGTTTTAGTTGATGTAAAATCTAACTCGAGAATACCCTACAATATATATAAGTAATTTTGACGAGTAGCATAATCTGTAAAAAAAAAAATTTCTCACAACCATAATTAAAATAAAAGGATGGCATCCTCTCTAAGCCATCAATCATACAAAAACAATGATTGATAACTTTGACGTGGACATAAAATCTTATAAAGTTCTTACACGTAGATAAAGAACTTGGATAAAACCTAAATACTAATGAAAACAAATATTTAAAATAAAAAAAGAACAATAAGATATTAAAAATTAGTATGGAAGCCATGGAAATAAACAAGATTAATCCTTTCAGAGTTGTCTACGACATGGCTTTTGAAATGTAACCCTTTTAAAGCTTTAAGATATATGAATAAGGTAACAAGGAGGGAAAGAAAACGTTTACAGTGGAGAAAAGTAAAAGAAAACAATGACAATAGAAATGAAAGAAATGTTTGATGAATTTGGAGGAAAAACACCTAGGAAGAGGAAAAATTAATTAATGAGAATGTTTT